CAATTTTCAAACTTAAAACGGATTCTGTGAGAGTAAAGATCAATTTTTTATTTGCCGCGCGTTGACTGTTCATGGGTAATAAGGCTTTTCAGAAACTCGCTCTGGAAAATGACTTCCATACTAAAAATACCCGAATTTGGTGTATTTTCAAGTTCAAAAGAATAATACTTCTACTTCGTAAAAATCGTTTATTTTGGGTGCAAATTGTAGATACACCTTTAATCTTCTAAACGCCGTGCGTTGATTTAGAAGCAAAAACTTCCAAATCTCAGAAAGGTGAGTTTTACGAAGCCTTGTTGGCCAGTTTTGGCCCATTCGCCTCTAATTAAGGGCTCTTCAAAGCAAGGTCGCCTTCAAATTTGGTTATGAATAATTCATGATGTCCACCCATTCTACCCCATGATTGGACATCATCTAATTGCGCAATGATTTCTGTGTATGACAAAATGTCAGCTTATTGATGCGTTGCAGACATTGGGCACCTTCTAAATGCGCTATGATGTCTGTGTGATACTAAATGCCGGCTTGTTGGTACATTGCAGACAGTGGGCACCATCCAAGTGCACTATGATGTCTGTGTGATACTAAATATCATATTTTTGGTACGTTGGAGAAATAGGGCACAATCCAATTGCGCCATGATGTCTATGTGAGACTAAATGCCAGTTTGTTGGTACATTGCAGACATTGGGCACCTTCTTAATGCGCTATGATGTCTGCATCAGACTGGACGCCAAGTTGTTGGTATGTTGCAGACATTGGGCACCTTTTCAGTGCGCTTTGATGTCTGTAGAGACTGTTTACCAGCATGTTGCTATTTTGCAGACATTGGGCACCTTCTAAGTGCGCTATAATGTCTGTGTCAGACTGAATACCACCTTGTTTGTTTACTGCAGACATTGGGCACCATCTGAGTGCGCTTTGATATCTGTTGGAGACAGGATGACAGCTTGTTGGTATGTTGCAGACATTTGGCACCATCTAAGTGCGCTGTGATGTCTGTGTGAGGCTAGATGCCAGCTTGCTGGTATGTTGCAGAAATTGGGCACCTAAAGACATCGGGCACCTTCTAGATGCGCTCACTTATCAAGGACTCTCGCTCTTCATCTGTATTTACCACCTTGAATGCTGAGTTTGTCACCACAAACATTACTGTGCCAGCTAGGAGGATCAGTGTGATACCCAAAGAATTACCCAACTTTCCAACAGAAGGTAGTTTTGAGTAGCTGCAAAAGGTAAGAGTTTAATTATCATCACTTAAATGTATCACAATGCCCTGGGTGCTACGTATTATGTCATGATTTTTACTCTGCCACTAACAAAAAGGACGCTTTTGAAAAGATTCGTGCGTTTTTACCATGGTTATAAATTGAAGGAAGGGGGTAGGTTTCTAAAGTAACTTTGGTGATACATCGGTGGGAGTGACAGGGTAATTGGGTTTCTATCAACTGGAGTTTATAATGTAAATTGGCCACCGTAAAGAGTTTTAAAAGCTGACGTTTCGAGCGTTAGCCCTTCGTCAGAGCGAATGGAGGTATTGTGGGTTGTGTGCTTGCTTATATGCAGAAAGTGGAGCTACGCTATTGGTGGGAACATGGTGACGAGAAAAACAGGAATAAATATATGGAATGAAAAGCGTTCGTTTACTACACCATTAGGATCAAGAGTGCCGATTTGAAAGATAAACTTTCTTTCAAGAGTTTTGCAGCTTTCCGAACTACCTAAATGTAGGGAAAGGCCGCAATCCGCCTTATGATGCTTGGAATGGTTGGGCAGATTAAAGTGTCTAGACTGGTTTGGATGCGTCCTTGTCGTTCCTTTCTACGTCGCGAAGGTGTTCTCGGAATCGGTTACCTAGCCGTTTTCCTGTTTCACCAATGTACATCTTTTTGCAGTAAGTGCAAGTTATGCAACAGAAAACATTGAAAGAGGTGCACGTGGAGTGATTAGTAACCTTACTTGTCCGTTTTGGTCCGGATATTTTCGGCTCAAAGTTGTAAATGAAAGGACAAGTTTTGCATCGTGCGCGAGCGCATTTGAAAGTTCCGGGTTGTTCATTAGTGTTGAGGGGTTTTACCACTCGCTTGGCAAATTAACAGGAGGTACTGAGACTCTGTAATTTTCTTCTTTATTCTCTCCCTTGTTCCACTGCTTATTTCTACTACTTATTCCTACTACTTATTTCTACTACTTTCAGCAAGGAGTGCTCCAGTATTAAATACAAAAATCACAGACATGTTTGGGTTAGCTAACCGTGGGAACTTCCAAAACAGGATGTTCAGTGTGGGTAAAACTCAAGGTCAGTTTTACCAACTCAAACATGACCACCTAGCAAACTAGTTATCTTCAACCATAACAAGGGATTAAAATGTCTAGCACGGTAAGTGCTGAGCCAAGTTCAAGCACACACTAAAAATAAATCATCAAAACTATAGATTCATCAAAATAGCACGTAGGGGCGAAAAGGCGAGACTTAATAAAACAAAAGCTAAACCTAAAAATGCTTGAAATATCGAGCCTTGAAAACGCTCTACAACAT